CACCAACACCATGTTCTAAAAGTGCAGCCACACACTGTTTTGTGATAAAGAATAGGTGTAGGAGCCAGAGGGGCTTTATATTGATCTTATTTTGGAAAGCAACTTACATTTCTTGCATCTGTGTTGAGAATTGTTGCTGGATAAGACTATAGTTTAGGCGCTGGTGGGACCTTTTTCGCTTTAACTGGGTAATAACTCTTCTTTTTAAGTTTTCCAAATTAGCGTACCTTGAACACCAGAATGCATTAAGCAAACCAAAAGAGCTTTTATTTTGAAAAGATGAAAAGTGTTTGGCCAAAGTTGGACCATCCGATGACAGATTTACACTTTTTTTTCGTTTCATACTACCAGATAAAATGTCCCAAACTTCAATGACCTCCGCCAGGTTTGCCGTGACAGCTGCGGGGGGGGGGGGGGGGGGTTGTATGCAGGAGGGCCGACTAATGTCTTCCGAGGAGGGAGAGGAGTTGAATGAGACACTTTGGCCAAGACACAGCAGCAACTCTCTCTCATTAGACTGGCCCTGTTACTCCCAATACACACAAACACGCACGCGGGCACACACACACACACACACACACACACACACACACACACACACACACACACACACACACACACACAGATGGGCCCTTGCAGCAGGTGGGCCTTTTGATTTGTCACCCAGGAAGAACCGTGTCTCATTTGCATACAGATGCCCCCTTCAGAGCTTAAGAAGGGTGAACACACACACACACACACACACACACACACACACACACACACACACACACACACACACACACACACACACACACATACACACACACACAGAGGCCCAAACAACCCTCTCTTTCTCTTTTCTTTCTTTCACTTGTCTCCCTTCCTCCCCTCTTTCTCTCTTGGCTGTGCAGTGATATTGGTGAAGAGAGCTCAGGAGAGTGGAATCCATGCATGCATGCATGCCTGTGTGTGTGTGTGTGGGTGTGTGTGTGTGTGTGTGTGTGTGTGTGTGTGTGTGTGTGTGTGTGTGTGTGTGTGTGTGTGTGTGTGTGTGTGTGTGTGTGTGTGTGTGTGTGTGTGTGTGCATATTGGACACTCTTGCACCTTGCATCTGTTCTAGCTGGCAGAGCTTTCAGGAGTCTTGTTTGCCGGTGTCAAACAACGGCGGCTTGTTTGCAGACCCACACTGATACACACATTCACTCCTTCTTAAACACACTCACACACACACACACACACACACACACACACACACACACACACACACACACACACACACACAGACACGAATGAGAGCTGAATTTCAAACCAAATAAATACTTGGAGATGGTTGTGTTTAGAGTACAGGAATAAGGGGCTTTTGCAGCTGGGATGAAAACAAGGTATGATGTTAAATTAAGCTTCCCAGGAAAGCACTTCACAAAGTTGAGTGATTGTTATTTCCAAAATGCTTCATCCTTGAATTTATGTTTCACACTGGCAAAAACTTGAGATGTTTTTTTAAATTGTATTTAGAGTAAAACAAGGCACTGCATTTTATTTCTTGTTAAAGCTAATTTGAAGCATTTTTCTCTGTCTAAGCGCAAACAATTGCTTACATTTGTAAAAATATCTTTTTTTAAACAAAGCTTTTTTTCTATTTGCATTATATTTTCTAACTATATTTCTTTAGGATTGTCTTCAGAGAGTCTGCAAGCACAGTTATGTTAAACACACCAACAAACCTGTCTTCTCTTCTATCCCATTAGAATATGTATTCCCAGCTCTCTGCACACAGAGCCATCATAAATGAGTGACATGAATCCCAGGCTGGAGCTCTGAAACGTATTTAAAAGCGGCACACTGTGTGTCCGACAAGTCTTCAGCCGAGCTGGAGAAACGTCCTGCTGTGATTGGCTCGGGGGGGGCAGCAATTACATCAGAGACTCTGCAGGCGCAACGACAACACTGAGGGTCTCTGAGAGTTAAACATCGTGCTGCTTAGACTCGGTTCAGAATGGGATTGTAATTCCACCTCTTACAGGAGCCCTGACGCTGACACAATATGATTTCTGAGAGAAAAGGACACGTCGTACAGATTTGGGTCATATAAATATGCTACCCTACACTCAGTCACCTGGCCCTGAAAAGACACCGCTGAACCATGAAGGCACTAACATCTGACCTCGTGGTTTGAGGTTTTAAAGAGGAGACAGAAGAGGAGTCAAACCGCAGTTATGTTTTGTTATATTTCACATTTCTCAGTTATGGAAGTGTACTTTTTCTGGATGTCTTTACAAACAACACCTTCACTAATAATGTACCTAACTGTAAGGCAAGGCAAGTTTATGTATGTAGCACATTTCAACACAAGGCCATTCAAAGTGCTTTACAAAAATGAAGGAGATTAATAGCATTAAGAAAGATATTATAAAATGATATCTAAAAACAGAGTTTGCAGAAACTGTTGCAGAAACTCCAGATCTGCATTAAATGCAGATCTAACCTCCCTCTGAGGCGCACTGCCTTTGGACGGTCAGCATTTTCGTTTACGGCCTGGAATACTCTTCCAGTTGAACTTAAAACCTGCACTGATTTTAACTCGTTTGATTTTGGTGCAAAACAAATGATATTAAGCAACCATTTGAACTGTATTGTTATCATATCTTAGATATTTTATTTAAGTGTTTTTGAAGTGTACTAAGTATTATGTTCGTAACCTGTATTTAAATCAGGCTTTATAATTATTTGAGTGACCGAGATCATGTAAGTGTATTTCAAGTGTACTATGTATTAATTTATTGAGCTACTTAAATCAGGTTTTCAAATGGTTTGACTGACAGAGATCATGCCATGTTAATATTTGTTTATTGATTGTTATGAACCTGTCTGAGGAGCACAGATGGAAATGAGCTATTAGCTATAATCTGGCATATTGCATCTCTTCTCTTTGCTGAAATGAATGTTTTTGTATGCATGGTCCTTCTATAAATAAATACAAATACAAAAATACAAACCTATCACTGTGGTCCTGCCTGACTCTCATCATACTACTTCCCTGATGGCTTCCACAGGATTGTAGCTGACATCCTCGTGGATTCATCTTCTTATTACAGACACATGCATTTCCTAACATTCGGTCTATATGCTGTAAAATGTATTATCTCTTGGATTTACACACGGCATCTATTGCACGTCTGTCCGTCCTGGGAGAGGGATCCCTCCTCTGTTGCTCTCCCTGAGGTTTCTCCCATTTGTTCCCCTTAAACTGTGGGTTTTCTCTGGAAGTTTTTCCTTGTACGATGTGAGGGTCTAAGGACAGAGGGTCTAAGGACAGAGGGTCTAAGGACAGAGGGTCTAAGGACAGAGGGTCTGAGGACAGAGGGTCTAAGGACAGAGGGTCTAAGGACAGAGGGTGTCATATTGTCATACTGATATTCTGTACAAACTGTAAAGTCCACTGAGACAAATGTAACATTTGTGATATTGGGCTATATAAATAAACATTGTGTAGTTACAAACAGCAGGATTCAATCAATTTCCTCTCTTCCACAGCTCAAACAAACAACCAAAACTTCTGACTCACAGGACGACACACACACACACACACACACACACAACACACACACACACACACACACACACACACGCACACACACACACATACACACACACACACACACACACACACACACACAAACACACATACACACACACACTTACACTCACAGAGATCCCCTCCTCTCACATGTCAAATCAGGGCAGAATTAAGAGTTTAGACGAACACAATTTCACCTCTGATCCTGTAATCCTGATCTGTGTGTGTGTGTGTGTGTGTGTGTGTGTGTGTGTGTGTGTGTGTGTGTGTGTGTGTGTGTGTGTGTGTGTGTTGGTGGGGGGTGCAACGTGAGCCCAGTCAAGGCCCCTCTGTCCCTAAGGACTCACAACGTATGTCAACACACAGTTTTAAGGCCACACACCCACCCATACACACACACATATACGCACACACACACATACACACACACACACACACACACACACACACACACACACACACACACACACACACACACCACACACACACACACACACACACACACACACACACACACACACACACACACATACACATACAAACAGGGACCTCATCCTTTATAAATCCATAAATCTGACCCGCAGCGCTGGAATGAGGCTCTAATTGTGGATGTCAGCAGGTCTGACCTGAAGGAAACTCAGGAGATGCCCCTCAGCATCAGAATAAACAGCCTCTTTATGTGTGTTTTATCATTATGATAAACTGATGGATGACTGAGATCATAAAACGTTCCCTTAATGGGTCGGAACACTTTGCACATCTATTCATACACACTCCTTCCATCCTTCACTTCCTTCACGAGGACAGGTGGACACAGCAAATGTTTTTATGGATACACTTCTCCATTCATCCATACATCCATGCTTTCATATTTCTCTTCAATGGCTGTTTCTCAATGTTTCTCATTCATCCACCAATGACCTCATTCATCCACCAATGACCTCATTCATCCATCTGTCACTGTTCAAATGTATATGTATTGTTCTCATGATGAAGCAAAATGGCACCTTGTAACACTTCAACACTGAGGATTGCAGCATAGGGCTGCAACATGAAGTCGATCAACAGAGAGATATTTGCCAACTCATTTGATAATAATTGAATCATTATTGTATTTGTACATGCTAAAATGACAGCGTCTCAGATATGGAGATTTCCAACTTTTCTCTGTTTTTTATTACATTTAACTAAATATTTACAGATATATTACAATCTGGGATGGGATTTTCTTTACTAATTTTTGAAATTGTATTAACCGATAATGAATTTAGAATATAACTGAACTGATGTGTCATTTCTTTAAAATACTAATTAATGTGAATGAATACTTTAGATTACAAAGTAGTAATTAAAAGTGTCAAAGTGTCAAAGGGTGACGTTTTTGCACCATCATTATTCCAAACTTCCAAAGCAGCCGTGGGGGGGGGTTGTGGTTTCTTACCTGGGTAGAAGTCTTTGGATTTGGACAGTTTGATGGTGGCTCCGGTCTCTTTCTGCAGCTGGACGATGGTCTGACCTCCCTTACCGATGATAGAGCCCGCCGCATAGCTGGGAATCAGAACCTTCAGGAAGTACTCGCCTTCCTCTGCAGCAGGAAACAGGAAACAGGAAGTCAGAGAGAGCTACAGCAGGGCATGTTGTTTACATTCATCTTATATTAAAAAAGCCACAGTATGCATTATTGGTCTGTTTGACCCTTTGCCCTCATGCCCGCCTCGTGTTTCCTGCATTGTTCTCGTTTTTTGACAATGCTATGGTTGTTTTAAAGGGACAGTCGTTTCTCATCCAACACAAACTGTGAATTGGAAGTGTTGGTCAGTAATCACTGTCTGACAGAACAGATGCAGGCTGGTGCCGCCTCCCTACACCAAAGCAGAATCATGTGTCTCCATCCAACCCCCCCCCCCTCTCAACCGCCCATCCGAAGCCTCCTCGAGCTGCATAAATCCAGCGGCATCAAACGTTGACTGATATCCATGACAACTAATTATTTCCATAATCTGATGAATCCGTTATCTCCCCCCTTTCTCCACGCGTCTGTTTGAGCGAGCCTCTAAACACTCTCTCCAGATTGGTCTGATCTAATTTCAGCGTCAGGCCCGAGGAATCTGGTCCTCGTCACCGCCTTGGCACGAGACGGGGGCTGAAGAATATGCAGCGCGTCGCTTTTATTATTAAAGCTAATCAGATTCAAACAACGCTTGTGGATGTGGCGCCTTGTGAATGCATAACAGCACATGCCGCCCCGACACATGAACATATTAACGTGTGCAGACGAGCAGATATCATGCTAACATGGAGATCCACCTGCAGGAGTTAACAGTCAGTGAAACTCTAAATACGAAAGTCAAAATGAAGTCGGTTTCCCGTGTTCTTCTGATTTCACCCCTGAGCTCAGCTAATTGTCCGAATGGGATAAAGATGTCTTTGAGTGTCAGCGGCCAGCCATCATTGTGGACAAATACAAAATCAGCCTGATGGAGAAATACAGCGCGCCTTCCAACTGAAGAAACAACCTGTTAGGGCATGATTTGGAAGAATTGTGTGAATGAATGAGATTCAACTGACGTTGCTATCATGCTGTTGTTCACAATATTGCAGGGACTTATTATTTTTAGCACTATAATATTCATAATCATTCAAACGTAAATGTAAAGGGTTATGAAGTGGTTCTTTTAAGAGGATCTGTTCCATGTTGTGTTTTTGTTTTGATACTGTATGTCACCAATACTTAAATGGTAAACTAAATGGTATTCGAGCCTGTTTTCTGAATTTTCTTTTTGTCTTAAGAACTGTATGTTGCACTGTTGGAAGAGCCTGAGACTTCAGATTTCCATTTCCAAATCTACATTATACATCTGTTGCTAGTGTGCGACAATAAAACCTTTAAATCTTAAAGAAACCCACAAAAACAAATGTCAGCTTGTTTTCCTAACTGCATCGTATGGGTTTTATTTGACGGTCTTTGCAGACTCTCGAATAAATAACTGATTATAAACACTTATGAAGCACCCCTGTACATTTGTTTGAGTCAACTTAAGTCATAGACAGAAGATGAATCTCGTCAGTTGGAGCCATTGAAATGAGGAGCTCCAACAGAAACTTTGGAGTGACACAAATGTAGCTGCATGTGAATTAAAGCAACTTCAATTGAAGGTGTGTCCTCTCCTCTCACTATAGATAACATTTGACATTTTCGAGTAAATGCTTGTTGTTTGCCAGACTCTCTAGACTGGGGAACAGCTTCAGTGCTTTTTGTGCATCAGTTTGGGCCCAAGGGGAATAAACCTAAAGGTCAGAGCACATGTTTCCATGCAGGCTTCATTCAGAGCGGGGACACTTTCAGTAGCTCCACTCAGGGACACGCTGACCTGAAGCAAGACTCGCACTGATCCTGCGACCTTTAGGTTGTAGCCCGCTGCTTCTCTAACAACACTGAGAGAGAGAAGTGACAGTCCTCTCCTGACACTGTCTCATTCAGGAAGAACCAGCAACCTTCCCTTCAGGACAGAATCACATAGACACTACACAATGCTGCTTCTCTGCCATTCAAAAGCTTTTTTGTATACTTCTCAATGGCTTTTGAGCCTCAAGATCTGCACTAAACTCAGACTTAATACATCCAAGTGAGGTTGACTGCCTTTGCACAATGTGCTTTCTCTTTTACAGCCATAAAGCACTACCCTAACCCTAACCCTATGGAATATGCTCCCAGCTGAGCTTGAAACGTGCACACATTTTTACTTTTTCCCATGGTGCAAAAAAAAAGGTTATTGAGCAATCAGTCTTTTCAACATTAACCGTTTTTGAGTGCAAGACTGGGTCAATAAGAACAAAATCCCTCCCATTCCTAAACAGCTGGCCTTTGTTACCATGGTGATGTCAACAAGCGGTAGGTCAACATTCTCAGTTTCCTTTTTTTTAAGGGCTTTTTCACACACATTCCTCTCTTTAAGGAGAGCTGGCCCTTTCAAACTGACACATAATAATGAGATGCCATTTCCCCATAAAAACAAGAAACCTGTTCTGCCCGGCAACATTCTAGAACATGCTTATGAACTTGTTTTGCATGCTTATATATCTTTATTCTTACACTTCAGCACATACTTTCTAATAAAACATATACATATGAAAGGTTTAATCTATACCCAAATAATAATATCTTCTTTTTTTTAATCGCTTAAACCTAAACAAATCGAATGAAAACTATCAGCATGGAAAGCTATTGCAATAGATGTATGCAGATTATCCAAGCTTTATGTAGCTTTGAACACATGCTACCTTAGTATTAAAATCACACATTGTATCATAAAAAATTACTATAAAAGGACCCCAAATATTATTAAATAAAAACAAAATCCACTTTCTGGAGGTTGAATCTACTATAGTTTCTATCAGGGTTTTGCAGAGTTCTGTCTCTTTAAACTGCACTGATTCAATGTTTCCCTCCAGAGCAGCATTCTTCATATTTGATAATCCAGGACACAGACCCTCAGGAGGCTCAGGATTCAAATAGAATTATTATTACAGGGGCACACTTCCTGCAAGGGCGAGGCACCTTGTCATAACGCTATCTCTATATGAAACCCAAGCCAACAATTGAAGACACTGAACTTAAAAAATACAAATATATAAATCCTGTTCTTTTATGCTGCGGACTGCACAGGTGTAAGCCGCTGGAAGATTCATGATCCCATATGGTTTCACGGAGTATTATAAAATGCCTTTTAATAGCTGTTACTCCCATAACATCCCTTTAACACTAGCAGCAAAACAACAGTGGAACAGGGGTGTTAGTGACACCTCACTATAAATACCTTTAATTAGTAAAAGACTCTGAACACCCCCACAAGATGTGTTGTGTTATTCTGGCTGATCAGGCCTCTGCTGAGGTTAATACATTGATAAGTACAACGACTTAGGAAAAAGATTCTTACAATTGTGGGAGAGAAACTCAGGGATTTCAGCCTTTGCAGACCATTTACATGCTGAAACAAGAGAGAGAAGACCCCAACAACCCATAACAGGGCTTCTTTTAAAACATTAAAGATTGCCAACTCGAAGGATTGAACTGTTGACCAAGTGATGGTTAAAGACACAGAAAACTACTAATGTGTTATTGCTTTGTCAAGCCCTTTTACGTTACGAGGTGCCAAATTGGAGTTATTGGATTTTCAAGGAAACGTTTCCCGGTTAATATGATTTATTTTTTGGACGTCTTATAAGTTGTAAGCAGTTGCGGCCGGCCCATAGGGGCGCTAGGGGCGCCGCCCCCCCTCTTCCCACATTACAAATTTAAAAATATATATTTAAAAAATATATTTTTTATTTTTATTTTTGATAAACAAGGTAAATATTATATAATTGTTATCAGTAAAATGTATAATCTACAATAAAATCTCGTTTAGGATTGTGTTACGATGTCTAAAGTTACTGATAAGTCACATGTTTCCTGCCTGGCCTGATGAGAGTGCAGCAAGTGCAGCAGAAGCCAACTGTTGCTATCTTTAAACTATGGCGCCGAAACATAATTTCAGCCAATCAGCGTCGTCAGATCTGATGGTCACAGGGGCGCCTACGTCAGAGCCCGGTGCAGTCTGTGAGTTGTTTTGACTCGTATCCAAGGAGACAAAACAGGAAGCTGTCATACACTCTGGAAGCTATCATTAGCAGCTAATATGAAAACTCCGTTTTTGACATACAAATGGAATGATGGATTATCAATAATTTTTCAAAGTGACAGACACATTGGATTAACCTATGGATTAACCTTCAGCCGCGTTTTTCTCGTTTTTGATCAGAATAACAGCAAAAGGTGAGCATATCTCCGTGTTTTGCTACCTAAAGCTACGTTGTGTGATGTCTGTATTTGCTTCCCCTGTCGCAAGTTATGATCGCTCAGTGATGATGCGTTAGCATTTTTTCGCTCAGGGCTCATTTAGCAAAAGGTTAGCTTCTTGTGAGACTTGTGTTTTGTTTCGGTAAACATGGTTCATATCATCAGTTAGCTGAGTTTCTTCCAGTTAAATGAGCAGGACACATGAATAGTTTATTACATTTTAAGAAGCCCTGAGACACAGTTTCGTGAGAAAAAAAACGGGGGGGAAAAGCCCCTTAACAGGTTAAATGGGAATTAAATCATTTTAAGTGATTTTGAGTGTTCCCAAAGCCCCGGTGTTCTGCAGTTTGTGTGGGCCTACTGTACTGTTGCACAGTTTATACTGTAGAAACTATGTCCAGGACAAGGTGTTTGGAAGTTTTGGAAGATTCATAGCTAACCACACTGAAGATTATGGACGTATTGATCAGTGATCTCATATTTTGAAGCCTCAATTTGTCCTCCCCCCCCCCTCTAACATCACCAGAAGTCATAATTTAAGGGGTATTTTCTCAATTTTTTTTAGCGGGGGAGCATCCCCCCGGACTCCCCTAGTATTGTTTGGTCACCATTTCCACAGCCCCACCTAAAATATTTTCCACCAGCCGCCACTGCTTGTAAGGTCGTGATTACTGTAGCTTGTCAAATGAATGTAGCATAGTGACTCAATTCCATATGACACAGTTATTCTGAGAATGTTTATAGGA